TCATAGTTAATCTCTTATTCCTGATTGTATCCTTGAACCACTAGCCTTGCCTTGTTTCTTGTTGTGTTTACAAACTCATCAAGTTTGTTACTGAATACCCACATGGTCCCTATAACAATTCGGTCAGCAGGTCGTGGAACCAGGTGCCATACACTATTCCTCTCAAATTGATGGAGTTCTTCTTGCATAGCCGTAATGTAATTAGCATCTTTCAATGCTTCCTTGATATTTTTGGGTTCAATTTGAGAAAGAAAAGATGAGAAGGCAAGTGAGTTTCTTGTCTTTAATCTGGTTTGAATTCCTGAGTCAAGAGGAGTGATCACATTTTTAAGAGGGTGTGAACTTTTGTGCTTCCAGTTAGACACTTGAATCTCATTGTGAGAAGGTCCAGGTATTTCTGAATGTGATCCTTGGTTGTCGTGAGTTCTGCTTCTCAGCTCAGCATGTGGGGTGCCTTGGACAACATCGACAACTCTGTTCTCAGCTTCAGTTGTTGTTATTGAGGGACCAAGTTCCTCCCCATCAGTTGGAGATATAACTGCACCATCCTCATTTGATTCCTTGACATGGCTCATCATATCAGCCTTTCCATTTGCCATGTCAATGACTTCACCAGGAACACTTGACTGTTCTCCATCCTAATCACTCTTATCAGGTGAATCTTTCCCACATAAGTTGTGAGATTCATCAAAGATCACATGTATAATTTCCTCAACACATTGAGTTTTTTTTGTTGTATACTTTGTAGGCTTTTCTTTGCGATGAATAGCCTAGAAAGATTCCTCCATCACTTTTGGCATTAAATTTTCCAAGTGCTTCCTTGCTATTGTTGAGGGCAAAATATTTCTAGCCAAATGTCCTTAAATGTGTTAACTTGGGCTTCCTCCTATTCAGCAGTTCATATTTTGTTTAGAATGGACTTGATCATGCACCTGTTCACCAAGTAGCATGCAGTGTTGACGACTTCTGCCCAGAAACTTTTTGCAATGCCACTGTCAATTAAAATTGTTGTTGCATGTCTTCAAGAGTCCTATTCTTCCTCTCCACAACATCATTTTGCTGAGGTGTTCTTGGAGCTGGAAAAAATTATGAGTAATGCCATTTTTAGCACAAAATTCGTCGAATTTGGCATTGTCAAATTCTGTGTCGTGATCAGACCTAATACATACTACATTATGGCTCATCTTCACCTGGATCTTCTTCACAAATGTAGTAAATACTTGAAAAGTTTCATCCTGGGGTTCTGAGAAACGGAGTCCAGGTGAATTTGGAATAGTCGTCCACCATAACAAAGATGTACTTCTTTCCTCCTCTACTTAGCACCCTCATAAGTCCACATAGATCTATATGAAGGAGATCAAGTGGCCTTGAGGTACTAACTTCCTTTTTGGGCTTGAAAGAGGATCTGACTTACTTTCTTTTTACACATAAATCACACACCTTGTGATCCTTGAAGCTTGACTTGGGCAGGCCACGAACTAGGTCCTTCTTGACCAATTTGTTCAGCAACGTAAAACTTGCATGACCCAGTCTTCTATGCCATAGTTCAACATCATCATCAACAACACTTAAACAGCTGAGATCCCCATTTTGCAAGGATTCAAAGTTAGCAACATAGATATTTTTGTATCTTTTAGCCACCAAAACCACTTCACCAGTCAGAAGATTTGTGAGTGTGCATATTTTTGACACAAAATTCCACTTTGTTTACCTTATCACAAATTTGGAAAACACTCAGCAAGCTGTACTTCAATCCATTCACATAGTACATATTTTCAATTGAGTGAGTGAGAGAGAGACACCCCAATCCTTCTAACTCCCAGAATGTATCTCTTTTTGTTGTTTCTAAAGGACACACTCCCTCCTTGTAGGGCGTTGAGTGAAAGGAAATCATTTGTGCTTCCAGTCATGTGTTTCGAGCAGCGACTATCCATGTACCATTATTGGTTGCTCCCTTTCACTGCTCCCTTCACAAGGAAATCAAGGGTTAGACTTAGGAACCCAAACAAGTTTGGGTCCCTTGTAGTGAGGAAAGGGGTGAATCAGGACTCTTTTGGTCCAAGCAGGCATCACACGTTTTTTATAAGAGGGACCAGGTTCTGTAGTAGTAGTTACCTTTTTAGCAAAAACTTTATTTTTCTGTTGCGACTAAAATCTAGTCTTACCTGTTTCCTTAAAGTGCCCGGTGTTACCACAGTGAGTGCAGAGCCAGTTATCAGGTACAATAATGTACTTGCTATGAGGGTTGTAAGGAGTCTTTTCTCTTTGGAACCTGATTCCTCGCCTGTTTTCCCCATTGTTTGTATACATGACAGTGATAGCATCAGAGGACCAGGTCCGCTTAAGTTATTTTTCAAAATCACTCTTAACTCTTCCTAGATCTTCCTGAAGTTGTTTGTTTTTCTCAAGTTCGGTCACAAACTAAATTTCACTGATTTTAGCTTATCTTCCAACCTAAGATGTGCCTCATTTGAAACTTCCTTTCCCTTTTGAATAATCTCATGTCTACCTTCTCCTTTTAGTTCCTCAACTGTTTTCTTTAGATCCACAACTACTGCTAATAAGTCATCTCTCTCATGTTCTACTTCTCCTAGTTCCATAGTTAATGCATTTTTATTATTTATAAGACTATGATAAGCATCAATTAAAATATTTGTCAAAGACATAAGTTTTTTTGGAGAGTAAGACTTCAGATTTCTTTGAACATTTAGAAAGTTTACCTCATCATCATCATCATCTTAATCATCATCAAAATTTGCCACCAGGGGAAAGATAGAGTCATACTCAGCTGCTTCACTTTTTACTGTCATCATAGAGCTGTCACCTTGATCATCATCCTCTCTAGATTCGCTGGAAGAGTCTCTCCATGCAGCAAGAGCTTGTTTCACAATGTTGTCAGAGACATCTTTTCTCTTGAATCGTTTGTCAAGAATCGGGTTCCTCTTAGCTGCTTTTTTTGTGTTGTGTTTGTACCGATTTTGCTTAAGGAGAGGGCAATCCTTGATGAAGTATCTCGAATTGCCGCACTTATGACATAGGTCATAACCTCTTGGCTTGCTGGAGCTTCCCTTTTTTGGAATACTTCCATTTCTGCGAACCATTTTCTAAAATCTTTTTGTTAGGTAAGTCATATCAGCATCCTCACCATCTGAGTCATTATTGTCTGTCTTGAGGACCAGGTTCTTCTCCCTTTTGGGCTCTCTTCTCTCATTATCCTTCTTCTTCTTCATTTCGTAAGTCTTCATATTGCCAATGAGTTCATCAATGGTCAGATTTTGCAGATCCGTTGCCTCTGTAATAGCATTTACTTTGCTTTCCCAGGAACCAGGTAATACACTAAGTATTTTCCTGACAAGTTTGTTCCAGGGAATGATTTCTCCCAGAGAGTGAAGCTCATTGATGATAGATGTGAAGCGACTGTGCATATCCTGAATGAACTTGTCATCCTTCATCCTGAAGAGCTCATACTCTATGGTTAGCATATCAATCTTCGATTGTTTGACTTGAGTTGTCCCTTCATGAGCTATTTGGAGAGCTTCTCAGATCTCCTTAGCAGATTGACATGCTAAAATCCTTTTGTATTTATCTGGTCCAATACCACAGACGAGGATTTTTTTTGCTCGAAAGTTCTTCTCTATAGCCTTGCAGTCAGCATTGTTGTATTCCTTTCTTGTTTTGGGAACTGTCACTGCTGGGTCACCAATGGTCTTCATAGGAACAAAGGGTCCATCGCAGATAATATCCTAGAGCTCTGAATCTTCATCCATGATAAAATCCTGCATCCTTATCTTCCACCATCCATAGTATTGGCCGTTGATTCTTGGTGGTCTGTAGGTAGATTGACCTTCTTAAAAGTTTAGTGGAGCAACCATGAGGATCCTTTCTAGGTGTTAGGCTAATAGAAAGAACCTCCTCTGATACCACTTGATAGAAATTAAGATTCCACCAAACTATATAGAGAACCAGGTTCTCTATTAGTTCTCACAGAACACACACACATTGTAGTAAGTAAATGACACAATGGAGTTTTACGTGGAAAACTCCCAGCTCACTGGATTAAAAACCATGACCTACCCTTGTAGGATTTCAACTTCAGTACTGAGCAAACTTTAGATTACAACCTATTGTAACCTAGGAATTAACTCGTTAATCTCTCACTAACTTGTAACAACTCTATTACAAGCTCTTTTGTAATAACTCTATTACAAAGCTTACAACTCGACTGACTCTAGCCAAGACACAAATACACGAATTATGATTCTACAAAAATTTTCTACACAATGCTTCTAACTAAGCTAAGTAGAAATTACAAGTAAAGTAATTTAACAAAGGTGCAACACAACTAAGGACATGTAATAACTCACTACAGGGAACTGGTCCTTTGTTATGTTGTTCTTTATTCTTGATGCCCTTGAGAATCACTTGCATGATTGATTGCTCACTTGAGAGAATGCTTGATTGATTCTTGAATGTTCAAGAGTGATGTTTTGCCTTTGCTTCAATGTTAATATTACATAGGTGACATCACTTGAATGATGCAAGCATGTTTGGTACAAGTACATTCCCCATAAAGTTGAATGTTGCACTGTTTGCCCTGTTGCATGTGCAGGCAACAACTTTACAACTGTCGGGTGGTTGACTGGTACAATCACCAAAGGGAACTGGTATCCATCTGTTCCCTCTGCTGTTTCTCTGAATATGAAGATGCTGTTTCTCTGAATATGAAGAGTTGAACCATGTCCCCAGCTTGAGACTTGTTATTCTTAAGTACTTGAGGATGTGTAACATGTTCCTCATCTGGTTCTTATCATTAAGTTTGTTACATCATCAAAACATAACAGGGATGCATATAACCTATCAAATATATATGTTGGCAGATATGTTCCAAATTTTTGTTGTTCTAGTTGCTCTTTTTATGGGTTTAATCAGTTCATACAACATAGATTATCCTGCCATTTCATAATGTACAAAGACAAGAAAATAACTGGAGGCATTCATGATGAATCATGACTCAAAATAACTGTAATTCATTAACAAATAAGTGTTACTTGTTCATCTGCATTCACAGTGCAACAATATAGTGAGTAAATGTTTTAACAAAAAACTATAACTACCATAAACGTCCACTACCTCCAACAATTGCTGCTTTAAATACATTCCAAAACACATAAACAACTTCCAATTTTAAAGACACTACAATAAAAGTTAGACTGCCAACAAAAAACATATTTAAGATGGGATCTTGGAGGGAGATTTTTCCTTGACTTTGCCCTTATTTGAATTCCAACTGCCCTTATCTAGTAGTGATGCAATGCATAGCACTTTGAACTTGGAGTTTTGTTTGAGTTATAGATGTCTTGCCTTTCCATTTAAGCCATTTGGTTGGTTGGTAACCAATGTCACCAGTCACATGTGCTGAATTGATCACAGTAGTAGATGATGTTTTAACTGTTCTGCTATCAGGCAGCCCTTGCTAAACAGGCATAAACACTTACATTAGCACAAGATGTTATTCTAACTTAACAAAAATAATGAACTTAAAATTAAGACACTTACATTAACACTAGTATATCCACTTTGTAAAACAAATAGACTATGTACCACAAACACTTGGTTTCTTGTAACCACTTCTGGCTGCTTTAAATTTACTTTTATTGCTTGTACTTGGCATTTCAGAATCACCTCTATTTCTCTTCTTTGGATTTACAGTTGAAGATTGTTGTGATTCAGCAAACTAGTACATAAAATAGAACTTCAATTAGTGAGCTATAAGAATTACTAGAGGCATATATAACTTAAAAGTGAATACTTTACCTCTGGTGTAGTTTTAGCCTTTATTTTAGGATTGGAATTCTTTGGACAACTCCTCTTGTTACGATTGACTTCCTTGCAGATTGAGCAGGTTATAGTTATGCCTCTTTTTGTTAACTTTCCAACTCTTTTTATTTCTCCAAACTCTTTTTCCTGTTCCTTTTGGCCTTCCAGACATTTTCACCAATTTAGGAAAATCAATGTTTGGACTATTAGTTTTTGGCCACATTGCCATGTATGACACATGTTGAATGAAGTGTCAATATGCCTTGAGGTATGTCTCTTTGTTGTACCAACTTGAGATTCCCTCTGATGCATCTTGTCTCATATAATGCATTGCTTCTATAACATGTGCACATGGGATCCCTTTTAAATCTCATGCTCTACAACTACACTTTTCAGCTTCTAAGTGTACAATATATTTTTTGTTTACTTCTTTTGACACTTCAAATCCTTTATCTCCATTCCAATCTATTGTGACCTATATTGATTTCTCCGTATTGATATTGAACACCATCATTGCCATTGGAGATATCTCATTCACCCATGTCTTAGCAAATGCCCTGGACTTACTCACCCTAATCATCACATTAACTTTAATTTCTTCCAACATTGTAATAATAGTCTTGTTCCCATGACCTAAGATCCAAGCATTAAAGTTTTCTGCCATATTATTGTCTACACTATCATATTTGAAGAAGGTTTGAAAGTATGTTTTGCACCATCTTTTCTTATTGTATCTGATTAAGTCTTCAACAATCCTATTCCCTAACTGAGCTAGACCATCTAGCTTTCTCTTAAGATCTGCCTCATGAGTAGCCCTAACACAACCCCAGAATCTTTTTCTTCTTTCTATCCCTCTCCATTTCTGCGCCAATTTGCTAAAATGTGCCTAACACACATCCTATGCGCACAATCAGGTAGTATTTCATCAACTGAAGATATCAATCCCTATTATTCAAGGACAAAGAACATGTAGTTGGAAACCTAAATAACAGTAATAAAATACAAATTTAATATAAAACTATAGGCGATAAAGACTTAGCTTTTGCATGTCACTAATGATAGTGGTCTAAGAACCATCTCCCATATGAATGTCTTTAAGATACACTGCTAGATATTTTGAGTTACAAAGAAAGTTGGCTTTGGTCCTATGATATTTGTGTCTTGAATTATTGGTCTTCACTGTGAAGTTTTCACTTCTTCCTTCCTTGCTAGCAAATATGAACTATGGCCAACCACCTTTACATATAACCCTTACTCTAATAGGCTCATTCACATACTTGTATAACTCAACTCCCTTCTTTAAAGCATAATTTGTTAATATTGTCCTAAATTCAACCACATTTTCAAATACCAAACCCAACTGCCAAATCACAACCTTGCATGTTGGATCATAAATCACCTTGTTAGTCTTTCTTCTAGCACTTAACTGTCCTCTTTCACCTTCATCATCAAATACAGGTTCAGGCTCTTCATCAGAATTAAAGGAATCATAATCAGAATTGTCATAGTATGACTCATCTCCTAGTAATTTACCATTCAAACTTCTCCTCTCTTGATCTATATCTTCAAAACTTTCATCCAGCCCCACTTCACTAGATAACCACTACCTTTTCCTTCTCACCTTTTCTGCTCCTCCTATTTTTTTTCTTGAATTGCTTCACATATTGCTTTCATAATCCTTAACTCCTCATGCACATCATTTTCATAGTCTATAGACTAGTCAGATTAAGCATCATAATTTCCTGCAATATCTTATTCAGAGTCTTTTTCACTTCCTACACATTGTATTACAATAGTTGGATCTTCACTTCCTACAGTTTGTTCTACATTAGCTGGGTCTTGTGCAGCTTCTTCTTCATCTATATCTGTCTAGTCTATTAAAGAATATCCATCTTCATTCACATTTGCAGCTTTATCTACATCTTGTTCCCCAACTCCAACATTTAAAGCAGCGGTAGATGGAGCAAGAAGAGAATCAGATTCCCTGATGCCTCTTTCAATGCTGATAGGTGCATTAAAAGGCTCACCCATTATACTCAAATTGGTATCTATACTTGTTAATTGACTACCAGACATACCAGTAAGACCCCCTTCCTCTATAATTGAGTCTTCACCTACATAAATGTCTATTATGACCCATCAGACAATAATAGTGAAAGATCATGTACGTCCCTATCATTTTTAGTTCAACCAAATTATCCCCCTTTATGGAACCACAAAGGTCTTTTTTTAACTTAGTAATTCCAAAACTCCTAGCTTAATCTGCCAGTTCAGGAATTGACAAATGATCCTCATCAACATTGAAAATATATTCTGTCCCACCCCCAATATAGACATGCCCCACCTCACTCACCATAAGTTAAAATATTTTAAAGCCATAAATTACCCTACATCCACAAACAATAACACCAGAAAATTTTACAGAAAAGCCCCAACTTAAAAAGAATACAACACGACAATATGAAACAAAGTTAAAGTATTTAAAAGAAAAGCACAACCTTTTAACAATAAAAAAGCACAATCCAATAATTAAAAACACAAATAAAGTATTTAACAAAGAAGCCTCAATTTTTAATTAGTAAAAAGGCACAAGCCAGCAATTTGAAACACCTATAAAGTATTTACAGACAAAGCCCTATTTTTTAAGGTTGTTACGATAAAAAACTAGTAGCCATGCATGCATGAGATGTAGAATTTCATTCTAAGTAACTTCAATTTCAAAAGCCTTAAGTCATTGTTTCTACAATCAAAACCCTAATATGTATAAACAATATTAAAAGCAGGTAAAATACACTAGAAATAAACCATTTTCAGTAAAGAATTACTTACCTAATTGGAATTTTAGACAACAATCTTCCTTGTAACAGAGATTAAATGCAAGCTTTCGATGTTCGTCGGTTGAAACAGACCCAAACAAACACCAATCGAAACCAAAAGCGAACAAGAATTCTTGATTACGGAAAAATTAGCAAACCCACTGAGATAACATATCGAAGAACCCAATACTATCAAAACCCTCTTTACCAGATAGTGAGAAGTGAGAGAGCCATTTGAGAGAGAAATGGATTAAGTTTAAGTGAGAGAACACCCTAGAATTTTGATATTAGGGAAATATATTTTATTAAATGGTGGAGCGAAAAATATTAAAATATCTATGTGGACATGTTTTTCCACCTTGTGCAGCACGTATATACCCGACTGAAGGACTACCTCATCAACGTTGGTATTAAAAGATGAAAAATCAAGTGTAGGGGGTATTTAGGATCTCGTACAGTTATTGGGAAAACTAAATAAAAGTTGTCAAGTGCAGAGGGGTCCCTAATATTTATGCCTTAGAGAAAATAATGCATGCATTAAATTTTGGTATAACTAATTTCTTATTGGGTACACTTTTTCAACCTATGTATTGATAATAATGTTAGTATTAAATCTACAACCTATTTGACATTATACTATGTATAATTAATACATAGCAAACTATGGTATTATAAATACCAAGACTATTAATGTATGCATTAGTATGGTTAAAGATAAAATTGTTCTTAAAGCCTCTTTAAAGTTAAAGAATATGGAGGACATTTTTGTAAACAAATAATTTTCTTAAATGATATGTAATGCATTTTAATTTTTAATATAACACACCAAATAGTGGATAAGAAATAATCTCTGCATGAGTAATTTTTGCATTGCTGACCCATGCATTACTAGTCCATGTATTACCAACATACCTTATTCAGTTATTCTTATACACCCTACCAAATGACCCATAATATCGTTAATGATGATGGTTGTTGATGCATAGCTACAGGGAATTAATAAAATAAGGTGATAAATCTACTGATGAGATAAAGCAAAGGGTTTAGCAAATATAAGTATAATAATTTTATTTACCAAGTAATTGTTCCCTTTTTTTTGTCTCATACACTAGATGTAGACGACTTATGAATTTACTTTGTTAGATATGCATAGGTCGAAATCTGCCACAAAACATTTAGGGCGAGGTAGCATTGAGGAAAGAGTTGGTCGAGGTCGATTAGGAAACGGCGAAGCTCGAGGTCGGGATGTTAACAATGATCTAGGTCGAGCACCCCATAAAGGGTTGTAACGGCTATTTTTAGAATAGGATAATAAAGGGAATATTCTAGTGAATATTATTTGCATATATACTATTAGGTTTTTTTAGGGATATGTCCCATATAAATAGGAAAAAAGACAATGAATGTGAAAGGAGGACACACACTTGATAAGAACAAACTTTTGATAAAGATTCTCTCTCTCTTGTAAAGATATAAACACTACCTTTTCATCAAGATTCTTGTTCATATTATTCTACATTTTTTCATCAGATCCGAAAATAGTTTGAATATTCTAGATTTATATGTCATTCATCATTGTCAGAAGGAACAATCATCTAGTTCATTCTTTATTGGATGAACCACTTCTTCTATTTACTTAATGTCATTTATTGTTATTCATTACTAGTTACTTCTCCATTATTGCTCATAACTTTTGGAATATTTAATGCATGTTATTGTCAATCCCCCACCAGATTTGTTTAACATTAGACACATTTTCGGAACTCACATCTAGAGATATTATCATTAATTAGGTTTAACCCATCATTATATAAATACAATTGTTTTAATCGGAAGTTACGCTTTTTGGTCAAACAATTTGGCGCCGTCTGTGAGGATTTCCTAGTTAATATTTTAGTTTCTTCTAGATCTATAACTAACACGAATCACTAACATAAAAAATAGGGAAGCAAGAATAAGGTCTCCTTTCTTTGTATGCACGAAACCATATGGCAGGTAACAGAGAAGAATGGTCGAGAATAATAAGTGACCTCTACCAACCTCATGAATGTCATCAATAAAAGCTCTGAAACAACAGACGGAGACGCAACGCCCAATGCCTCCCCTAGACGAGATGGGTCACCTCCTTCTCACTACAACATCATAAAATCTCTTGGTAAGGGAACCTCCACGTCTGTAGAGGAGGAGAAGCCACCAGCTATAAAAAGCTCCTTGAGGCTTGGCTAACCGATACGCTAACCAGCGTCCTCCATTAGCCCGCTCGGGATACAGCTACAGAAAATACGAGGACTTGCGTTACACAAGCATCAGACGAGCAACACAACCAATTCCCACCTCATCCAACAACAGGTATTACTCACAATATCATTAATTGTGCAGGCGACGACGCTCTCGCAACCATTTTGAAAAGGGTGGAGGAAATGGAGAATGAGAATAAAGCATTCTGGGACCAAATGAGAGAACACCAAGAAAGGGTCGATAAGATACCAAGCACCTCTAAGCTCTTGCAGAAGAGAGATGTCGGTCGGTTCGTCTAGCATCTGTATAGTGATGACGCCACCCCACATGCCATACTAAAAATCTTTAAAATGCCGCCCTTCCTAAAAATATATGATGGCATGACCGACCCCGAAGACCATGTGATTCACTACGTCACCACCGTGAAAGGTAAGGATCTCGCCAAAGAACAAGTATCCTCCATTTTGTTGAAAAAATTCGGTGAGACCCTCGTGGGAGGAGCATTAATATAGTATTCGCAACTACCCGCACGCTCTATTGAAACTTTCAAAGAGATGGAAGACAAATTTGTAACGGCCTATGTTGGGGCTAAGAAAGCCAAAGCAAGAGTGACTGAGCAGTACAATCGATAAGGATGACCCTGCCGAATGTGTCGGAAGGGATGACAGTCGCAGCCTTCCAGAACGGACTGAATAGGAACGTGTCGAGGGCGACTAGGAAACTATTAAGTCGACTCATAAAGTACCCCCAACTACTTTGGATAAAATACACAACGCGTACTGTGCCGAGGTCCGAGCAGATGAGGACGACCTTAATGGACCAACTCATCGACTGACCTCGATACAAATTGAATCCAGAAAAGATCGAAGAAATGATACCAGAAGGGACCTCACAGCTCCACGACCCAACAAGGAACGACATCTACCATATGTTAGAATGGAAATTACATCCTCCTTCCACAACGAAGAGGGCCCACCCAGATCAAGAACAGGGACTCACCGGAACGAAAGAGGTATGCTTTTGTGTGTCACCTATAGAAATAGTCTAAGCCTTGGAGAAACTGGGACCAAAGGTGAAGTGGCCACAAAAGATGAGGTCAGATCCGAGTACCAAAAAATCGGACGCCCTTTGCGAGTTCCACCAAGATCAAGGGCACAAAACAAAGGATTGCATCGCCCTAAGACAGGAGGTCGTAAACATGCAGCAATAGGGGCACCTCAAAGAATTACTGAGCGACCGAGTAAGGACCAACTTTGTCAGAGGACGTGAACAACTTCAAGGACTGCCAAAACCGCCCTCGCCAACCCGCACCGTCCATATGATCATCAGCAAAGCCCACAATTCATCCATCAACAGTGTGAAGTTTACCACAAACCACAAGCTCAAACGGTCAATCACCTACGAATGGTATGATGAACTCGAAGAAACGGTTTGGTTTTCCCTCACTTTGATGCCTTTGTTATCACTTTACAAATTTTATATATCGACGTGAGATGCATTATGGTAGACGATGGGAGCGGCACATGCATTATCCACCCTCGAGTACTTGCACAAATGAAACTCGAAGATAAGATAGTGCCGTGTTGCATCACGCTAACTGGTTTTAACAATGTAGTTGAGCGAATATGTGGCAAAATCACTCTTCCCGTCTTGGCCGACGATGTCACTCTGGAAACCACGTTCCACATCATGGACCAGGATATAGCGCACTACTCCATGATACGGCGACCATAGATACACACCATGAGAGCCATCCCTTCCAGCTTGTACCAAGTCATCAAATTCCCAACCCTAAGGGGAATATTCAGTATACAAGGGGAACAACACATATCTCGGGAATGCTACCACATCGCCCTAGACTACACGGTCACTCAACAAACAAAGGACAAAGAAAAAAAGGCATAGCAATTAACAGGTTCGAGGTCGATATGTGACGATAGCGAGGACGTCATCAAAGACCCCGACATGATCAAGCTACAAAATCGACATAGAAGACCTCGACCCCGTTCAATTAGAAAACAACAACCATAACAAGAAAGCTTTCATCGACTGTAAACTTCAGGAACCAGGTATATTTTGTCAATTCTTAACTAATAACGCGGACTTGTTTGCTTTTAGCCATGCAGATATGCTAGGTATCCCAAAGGAAATTGCCATGCATAAGCTAAACGTCGATCCATTCCACCCCCCGGTGAGGTAGGTTAGGCATAAGTTCAACTCCGCAATTAAAGATGTGGTACGCGAAGAGGTGGAAAAACTATTGGAAAATGGCTCTATCAAGGAATCGAAATACCACTAATGGGCCGCCAACGTGGTCATGGTGAAAAATAAAGAATGGGAAATGGTGGATGTGCATAGATTTCACAGATTTGAACAAAGCATGCCCCAAGGATTCATTTCTGTTACCCCATATCGACCAACTCATCGACGCAAACAGATGGGCATGAACTAGTGAGCTTCTTGGACGCCTACTTGAGCTATAATCAAATCCTCATGGAAGAAGAGGATCAGGAGAAAATCACTTTCATCACACATCAGGTGATGTACTGCTACAGGGTCATGCCCTTCAAGCTGAAAAACATAGGGGCAACTTACCAAAGGTTAGTGACGAGGATGTTTAAAGACCAACTTGGGAAAACGATAGAAGTCTACATAGACAAGACATGCTGGTTAAGTCCAAAAAGAAAGAAGATCACATCGAACACCTAAGAGAAACCTTCGATATATTCAGACGATACGGAATACAACTGAATCCCGAAAAATGTGCATTCGGCATGGCCTCGGGAAAATTTCTAGGATTCCTGGTATCACAGTGAGGGATCAAGGTCAATCCTAATCAAATCAAAGACATCTAAGGGATATCAGAACACCTGACCACCAAAAAATAAGCTCAGAAGTTGACTGACCGTATCGCCGCCCTATCAAGATTTATTTTGTGATCATCGGATAGGTGTCACAGATTCTTCGGCGTACTCAAGAAGGATAACGGTCTCCAATGGACTTCTGAGTGCGTCCAATCCTTGAAGGAGTTAAAAGCATATTTGTCATCACCACCATTACTTTCAAAACTAAAACCAGGGGAAGGCCTCCTCGTTTACCTTGCTGTATCCGAAGTAGCTGCGAGCGCAATCCTAGTCT